TTATTGTTATTTTCTAAATGGTCCAAAAATAACATGTGGCAGGTTTACAACTATGTCTGGAAGTATTTTGGCAGTATTTGCACTAGTAATAATTGTTTATCCAACAAAGCTTCTTATGTTGTCTCTATTGCAGTTGGTACACTTGGGACAATCTCTCTCTCTGCCAAGGAAGATGTCTTGAGGATAACCTGACATCATTGGGAATGCACAGGTGGCAGAATTGCTTGGAACAGCTCATATGTTAAGGAAGGTGTTACATCTTTAAGCTGCACATAAAAGCTGAAATCAGATCATCATTGCTTGGTCAAAACATCAAAGAGTCAGAGTGGATATCAAATAATAATAAATAATAAAAGGCTTTTACATAGGCAGTAAGTCAACAATAAAGATGTGGATGAAGCCCAAACAAACGGATAAAGAAAGTTGACATTAAATCTGGTTTATTATTGCTGCTCAAGAACAATTATTACCAAATCAAGATTTTGAAAGACTGCACTATCCCGATGTGTAAGGTATACAACAAAAAATAAGTAAAAATAGACCATCTAGTGTCTGGATGCTCAGAATTGGCCAAAACAGAAAATATACAAATGCAAAACAAAGAGACTTTATTTGAAATAACATCAAAGTCAAATGTTATGGACATGAACCGGCAATTGTAACAGAAAATAATGAAGGTACTCTTCTTTGTGACATGATAATCTAAACTGATAAAAAAATTAAGGCCAATAGACCTGATATAGGAGTGAAAGACAAGAGCAAAGAGCTTGTTTGCTCATTGACATATCTGTTCGCATTGAAAGAAACACCTCCATGAAAACTACAGAAAATCTCCCCAAAGATATAGACAACTATGACGCTAGTGCTAAAAGATGCTCTCAAGTCTGATCAAGAAAGAAATGGGAAAATACACCAATAAAATCCCTAGTAACATCAAGTCTTAAAATATTATTCTCTTTAGCATTGCTCAGATATTAAGCAAGACTCTAACCATGAAATAAAGCCCTAAGTCTAAGAAATGGACTTGTCTCTTTGAATGAACATAAAAAGCAGGACATTAAGAAAAATTTCTGAATAATAACAATAATAATAAAATTAATAATCTTTCTTGCAATTTTTGGTTTGCAATTGCTGTTACATTCAAAGAGACCAAATCAACCCTGTTAGACATTTCTCTTAACTTTACCCTGTGTTTATTGATCTACTTACTGGACTCAACTAGATAAATATACATTGAATAAAATTATTGGTTGTGGGAAGCTTTGCAAGGCCAACATACACTGGCAAAGGATAAGTGTAATTATTTGATAACTGCATTGTTTCAGCCTAACATTCAATTTTCTAACATGGATAAAAATTATAGATATGTCCAAAACTATGCAAACACACAACTAAAATAAACGAGTACATACCATATTTGATGGCAGATAAACACCCCTACATTTTCCCCACAAAATGCTCCAAAGTTCTTACCTGTAAATTTGGGAGAAATATGTTCATCCAGACACTATAAACTCTATAAAATTAAGCATAAACTGAGAGTAGGTTCTTATGCAATCAAATGTGGTAATATTTTTAAATGCACAAAAATATAGTTAGAATAATTTACTTTCCTCTGTCCCAATGATCATGAAACAGACTTAGCCAATTGTGTGACACTTAACAGCCAATCAGTAGAACCCTGTTCTTACAGAGGGACATAATTTTTGTAGACATTCGATAGTGAAGGGGTATTCCTGACTTGGATAGAGACAGTCCCTTGAAACAAGGCTTTTTACAACAGCAACTAATTTTCCTATTCAGAGTTGCAGCGAAGACATTTAACATACATTTTACTGCATGATTTCTCTTTCAGAAAATAAAAACTTCATTTACATTCTCTAACTTCTAAGCTGTCTTTTTTAATTATAAGTATTTGGCTAATTATCTGTATTAACAGCTAGTTATTACCAAGGTCATCCAACATATATTTGATAACCTAACAATATCAAGATCTTGAATTAATATAGAGGTTCTCTATTTACTAGCATTAGATTATTAAAATTATTAAAACACATTAGCTGAAGAATTTTACTGAAAAAACTAACCTAATTTTTGTTGATACCTTTATAAGATTTAAAAAAATATAAATAATAAATATATTTTACATCGTTAAATTATTTATAATAAATACATAAATAATTATCATATAATAAATTACATTTTATCCTTTTTTTTATTTTATATGTATTTTGAATATTTTACACTCATTTCAAGTTACAGTTTTCTGTGGTGATTGATAATCTATAAAATAATGCAATGAATAATTATAATACATATGAAATATTTAATATAATCATTTTCTGATGCTCTCAAACTCTGTGAAACCATTCTCTAGATGACATCAATTATATGATACACATATACTGAAACTTAAAATGTAGGATTCCAAAACATGCCAGTATGTAGTTGATAAAAATTTTGTCTACAATAATGGTAACATTTAGTTCTTGACTAGCAGTAAAGCCCGGTGTTGCCCGGGGATGTAACAGTAAGAGATAGATCAAGTATCAACCATCATAAAGACTGAAAAATAAAATTGACAAAGATTATTGTTTAAGGTTGATGGGCACGCATGTCTTAATTATTTTTTTTTTTTTGTTGTTTTTTTGGTCAAACCCAAACTCAAACAAAAACATTGTTTTCAATCGTTATGAGTCTATCGATTGAATAGAATTTTATTATAAACAATTGTCTTGTAAATGGAATTTTTAAAGCATTCTGAATGTAAAAATAAAGAAAAAAGTGTGCAAGACAATAAGAAACACTACCTGCCAAAAAAAAAGTGATGTTTTGTTGAAATCGGTTGAAAAATGTAGGAAATCCGATTCCATATATAAAGGAACACACACACAAACAACCTGGGTTTTATAATAATATAACTCGATATGAGTTGTCCCCCTTTCATTCTCGTGACGCCTCTTAATCATGTTTTCAAATTGATTTCGTGCAAAAACAATTGTGTTTTTCCAATTTTTGGCACTGTCAGAACCACTGCAAAGTAATTTTACGTAGTCCTGTGAAGTTTTGTTGAAATCGGTTGAAAAATGTAGGAAATCTGATCCAATATATAAACGTACAGACACACACACAACCTGGGTTTTATAATAAGTATGATGATAATGACAAAGACAAAAGTATTCAAACTAAAACAGAACAAAATCATGAACTTTTGACAGTTTATCTACAATTTTGATCTGGATGGGCAAAAACTTATTAGAAAATTGGAAAAATGTCAAATAAAATCAAATAAACAAATCTTGTCAGTTGAATTTAATAAAGCTTGTTTAATTGAATTGCTGCTTAAATATATATTATATTAGGTTCAATCAGAATTTCTGTTAATGTTTATCAATCCTATTCTTCATAAAATAAAGTGTAATTATATTTTATTTAATTATATATTCACCATTTTTACAATGAATTGTTGCCATTTATCAGGAAGCTGTTCAATACCTTTTGAGTAAAATTCTGCAATTATTTACATTATTCAGACTTTTAACCTCATCTTCATTGCCATATTCACAATGTTTCAGGTGGAGCATACAACAGCCAAAACATTGTGAAGATAAGGATAACAGTCTGAATAATGTAAATAATGCAAGTAATCATAATACCTCAACTCAGAGATATAGACAGAAAATTCTGCAAGTTTTAATGTGAAAAAGTTTTGACAGAATCTTGAAACTGGTTTTCATTTGAGAAATTTTTCTCCATCAAAACGTTTTGAAGTGACTGGAAAAGGTAATAATTGGTCAGTGCAAAGTCAAGGGGAATATGGCAGGTGGAGTAGAACAGAGAAACCAAGTTTCATAATGTTTCCCTGTGTTATTCTTACTATATGTACCTTTACATTGTTATGTAGAAGAATAAAATTTTCTCTTTTGATGAATGCAGGGTACGTTTTGATTGGAAAAGGTAATAATTGGTTGGTATAAGGTCAGGTGAACATGGCAGATGGGGAAGAACAGACCAGCAGATCAACTGACTTTGAAAATTTTTCCTTTGTTATTCTTACCTGATGTGACTTTGAATTTTTATTGGGGAGAAAAAATTTTTTCCTTTAATCCACTGTGTATGCTGCCATTTTCATGCAATACGTAAGATAGGTTTGTGTACTCAAAATTTATTCTTAACTGTGATGTTTGATTAGTAATTAGGATGATACATTTTTCATTACAGTTGATTCATCAGAAATTGAAATTACTTATGACTCATCCATATATATATATATGTATATGTGTGTGTGCAAATGAACACATTCACACTTGCATTGCACTTATATGCTCAAACATATAATTAATGCATATCTGCAATCTTCAATAATCAAATTTTGACTGATACAGCTTTTGTGCATTTTATTTTCTACGTGTAAAATGAAAATTTATTAAGAAAAGGTTTTATAATTTAACACAACTTTCAGATAGCATGAAATATCAATTTCTATAATTTTTGTCCGAATTTTTGGAATTATCATTATTTATACTAATTATATTTGGACTATTGTCCTCATCTTTGTTGTTGTTATCACAACATTTTAGCTGTTGTATCCTTAGGCCTTACCTGATGAAGGTTGGTGGGCACAATGGCTGAACTCTAATCTATGGGGGTAGACTGTTCTCATCCCACTGGTCATGTCTAGGGATATCCCATCTAGTTCTTATTTTTAGTACTTCTCAGTTATTGCTTACCTTGTTACCACTGCTTTGATTTTATTCATTTTCTACAGCTTATCGACTTAAAACCAGAAAATATTTTTAAATTGTAAGAATTTTTGTTTTGAGATAGTGATGGTTTAATTTTACTAATTGACCCATAGCTGGGAGGACAAGAAGTAGATTCATAATTTTCCCAAGAGTATTTGCACATAAGCGAATATAACAAACCCAACTGAAATTGGAACTCAGTTCTCCAATTAACAATTCTAAGCCATTATCCATTACACCACCTACACATCCAAGCATACAGCACCTGGTATTCCCATGTAGTCACCCATCTAAGTATTGCCATTGCTTAACTTCAGTGATTGTATGGGAACCAGTATTTCAACATGATGTGGCCATA